CTATTGGTTAGAAGCTCGAGGCCATAAGAAGTGAGTCACAGGCTGGCTGTCTCGTCAGTTTGCGGGGGGGGGCATATTAACAATTGTAGAGGGATGAGCACTGAACACGTTACGGAAGTCGGTCGTTCCGTTTTGATCTGTGGGATGTCTGTCCAGCACCGGCGCCAGCCGCCCTTTGTAAACGCAGAGTTGCATAGTGGACGAAGCAAGGGGGCACTGGAATGGCCACTTGTCATTTTAGCAGTGATCAGCCATCCTCAACCAAACCTGATTTATGCGACCCCCGAAGGTGAATCTTGCGGCCTGGCATTTGGGCTACGAGGTGGCTGTTTTGCCGGTTCGAGATGAGTTATAGATCCTACTAGCTAGACCCAGCCACGCGCTGCTGTGGCTCAGTATGATGAGATGGAGAAAAAAAGAGGATTGGGACACGTTTCTAATATGTTTTATGTCATAATGCTTGTGGGTATGCAATCCGTCTTGTTGCGTTGTCTGTGCAGATATGAGGACCGTCTGGTTTGCCGATTCTGGAGCACGAAACTTATAGGCGTCCATGCGATAAACATTCCGTTTGCAGATCCAAACCGCAAAATTCTAAAGATCGGCCGCGGGCTATGTTTGATGGTGAATGCAAACGCCAATCGAATCGGGAATTACAGTCTCCTAGACTGGAATGGCTTGTCAGCTGGGATCGGTGGAATGCGAGGAATAAGGACATGTTCACCGTTGAAAGGTCTTGCTAAGGTGGTTGTTCCCACGACGTTGCCGCATTAATTTTTTTATTGCAAGCCGCGTGCCGTTGCAAAGGTTTGACTGACTGTTATTTCGCAGCATGATAATCAGCAACCGATTTTCAATTGCAGTACGTGCGGCAGCATCCTTGGCAGATCAGGTGAATTCAAAAAATCTATGGAATAATTAGTTGCCTCGTCTGCTTCCACAGCAATGTCGACGGACGTGTATGTGACGGCCTTGCTTGCAATCGTAGACTGAATACTGAAGTTGGTAGACATTTTTGTTCTTGGCCGCAAGAATAGCTCGTTCGTTTAGTCAATCGTAATTCGTATAATTAGTTTGAATATTGGAAAATACCTTTCCAATCAATTCATTCTTTTGACGACACTAAATTGCCGAAGAGGTAGTGAAATGTTCCCTGAATTCGGATCAACCGGCACCCTTCCGCTCCCAAATTGCTAGTAATTGGTGTGCGAATATCTCAGCTGATCGGTCGTTTTACAACTGGATACACATATTTGCACTTAATTTTACAGTCTGGACGTGGCGCCACAATGTAGACTACTTCAGGCAGGCATTTATTTCGCCCGCTGGTGTCCGTCAAGGAATTAGAGGCAATGCTGGCCAGAAGTCGCCTGCAAGCAGTAGCAATGTGTCTCAAAACGGTCTGCTGTTTCCGCGCAAATCTTGCAATGATCGGCCAAGATCCCCGATCGCTTTTGTGCGCCATTGAGCATTCATCCCGAACATTGAGTTTGCATTGTCGCCATGCCCTATGGCTTGGTAATGTTGCACCTGGGAGTTTCGATGAATTGCACGTTAAACGGCAATTTCAAAGCGGAATGAGCTGTTTTTCCGCCGGGTAGCAAGGTCGCAGCTATTCCGGAGGAAGCGAAAACTAAGGCTATGTCAATTTTGGGTCGAAGTGCTGCCAGAATCAGCCGTAGCAAGAATGTTTTACCAGTCTCCTTCTGGTGCATCCAAGAAGATTCCTCCAACCCGCTATTGACAGTCAGTATTATTTGATCGTAAATACCATCCTGCTCCAGTGTTAGCTTGCGAATACTTGATTGCAGATACGACAGAAGATCAACCGCGTTGTTGTTTTTGCTCACGACGCAAGTGCACATCTAACGAAGCAGCAGCAGATCGATTTGATGATGGCTTTTCCAGTTGAGTGAGAACTTTGTTCGTGATTTCCACGCACATATCCTCAATCATTATTAACGCCTCGTTGTAGATTTCTGCTGTGAAATCCACATTTGAGTTTTCCTTGCGTGGTTAAACGAGAGATATCTTCAGCCGTGTGCGATCCACTAGCGGAGGCTGGGGGAAGGGGTGGTGTTAACTGCATCCAGTCGCGCTCGAGAATCCCTGAGGAAGCGGTGACAGAGAAGTTATGTGTGTTATGCGGCAAGCTCAAGTGGAGCCCAAGAGTTGCAGACCTTTTTTCCCTATGCATAATTTTCCTAGCGGCCCATATTTCATCGACCCTGGGGAGGAGGACACGTTAAAGTGTCTGCAGGGGGAGTGGGGTGAGCGCGGTCGTCGGGGCGCACGTGTGTCCGAGTGGATGCCGGTCAAATAGCCGCAGGCCAGCGCGTCAGCAGGTGGCGTTGTTATTTCGGAAGAAAACGTGTTTTTTTTTACCCATCACAGGCGTACTATCTGCATAATTACAAAGGTAGACATAAACAAAAACCCAGCGCTATGCGCAGGCAAGGTTGTGTCAAAAGTTCAGCTCAGTCGTTGCAGTACACTTGGAGAGTACCTATAACACACAGAAAAACACTTCCATTTTCATTTATATAGATATATATTGGCCGTCTGGTTAGCTCTGAACTTTTGCGATATTAATCGGCCTATCCTAGTACCTCGGAAGCCAAAGATGTCAATAATAACGACCCTGAGGTGCCCTTTGACTGTTCCCTGCATTAGTACATCTTCAATGCCTAATTTACTCATGCCCATTAGTCTAATCGATGTAAACCTATCCGAATTCCGTGGAGATACTATAAATACGGACGCGGGTTGATGCCCAACAGCTCGGACCGGGGAACACCTCGCGGACTCCATCGTCGCTTTTTCGAACTCCTCGTTTCTCAACCTTCCCGACCAACCGAGGCTCATCCCCAGGCTGATCCGTCTCCGCCAAAGGACCTCCCAGTCTTCTCTCCCGCCTGAACTTCGTCCAAATTCGTCTACAAATATTCCTCAGTCTCCTCTTAGGATACCGTCTTCCTTCTTTATTGGAAGCCAATGGATTGGATTAAGACAAGGTTTGACGTGTTGGTCACTTAGGTCGGTTACGAATTGATGATAGCGGCGAGATCCAATATGGTCGATGAAATGTTAGAGTGATTTGTGAAGGCGATGGGGAGGGTATGGTCGTCCTGGAGTTGTCTGTCAAAGGCGGACAAATCGATGGCGTAGGACGACTATTATCTATGGAAGGACGGGATGAGAGTTTCCCTGGACATAATTGACGAAGGTGCGTGATTAACCGCCATCCTAGGCCGTCGTCAGAACAGCTAATGCCACGACCACGCTTATACCCCACGACAATTTCCGAGCGTATGCGGTGGGAGTTTCGCCGGTCCACATTGTGCTGGATTGCTCGTGAAGCCCTGGAGAGGCGCCGATAGCACGTTGGTGAGTTTGTGGTCAACTTCCAACGGCAGTAATGCGTCCTAGTCAGGCAGGCCAACCCGACTGACTCCTTTGCAGAGATTGAGGCTGGAATGCCGAAGCACTTGGTGAACGGCAATATCCACACGACGCCTACTGATTCACAACACGCCCAACAGCATCAAGGGGGCCCTTGATGTCGCTTGTCGCGAAGACGTGATTTAGACGGCGTATCTCACGACTCCTGTGCTCATCTCAGTGCCCTTCGGACCTGGCCTAACCACTGCCTCCTCTGAATTATGTTTCATCTGCGTCGTCTCTGTTGGAGTTTGCGCACATTCTACGTAATTTACCGAACTGCCGTATGCCGTTTTTCCCATTCTCTCCCTGTCTCTCCTGAGTATGTCAACTGTCGTGTGCTGCGTCGTCCTCGTTCCCGCCTCGCATTACCTTTCTGCTGAATAAGAACTGCGTGTATATTGAAATTGAGGTTTCATGCTCTTTTTCCTGCTACAAGTTCGCCTATGTGGAGTATTTATTTGTGTTTTTTAGTTTAAAAAGTTAATTAGGCAAACACGTGTTTCCGGTAACTCTTCATCAGGCCAAAACGGTTACATAGTTATTTAAATTATGCGAAGTTACAGGGCTTATAAGTGATTCAGGGGCTATTAACACCCATCATTCCCACGCCACTCGCATGACGAGGCGTGCCATGGTGTGGTCGGCGTTTCTTGGTCATTGGGTCAAGGGGGACGAGGAAGGGGGGGGGGGACATAGGCTGTGAGTACGTTGGGTACGTTGTGCACGCCCCAGTGCCATCATGAGGTTGGGTCGGCTTTGACCACGGAAGACAGAGCGCCTGTGTCAGAGTCTTCTGACAGCATAGCACTGGATTAGCTAGCCGTATAACCACTGCCTCGGCTGTAGCTAGCACCCGTTGACGTAGACCTCTGGAGAAGCATGCTGGTGTCCGGTAGACAACCTGAAAGGCTTCTTTGACATCGACTCGGTGATTCGTATCGACAAGATATGCGAGAATAGAACTCCAGATCGATTTCTTTTCACCTCTACCTAGCCAAGCCGGTATGTGTTCACGTATTCTCTTTTACAGGCACCTCGTTGTACTGCCAATGTATCCTGCTCCACAGGAGCAAGTGAATGAGTAAACACACATCGATGTGGCCTGCAACGGGAGTCGGTGTTTATCTCCCAAGCGTAGGAGGGGAGGGTTCGTGAAACACACACGTAAGTTCGCCGCGGGGAAAGCGCTAGTGATCGCTGTATTCAGACGTCTTCTTACTAGGTTACTTGCTGCGTCCCCATGCAAAGGCAGTTTATTCGTTTGTAGCCTATCCCTGTATTTACAGGGTTTCTTTCAACAGCTCCAGACTAAGGTGGTCTGTCACAAAAAGCCTTTTCAGATATTGCAGAACTGGTGACGTCCTTTTTATTCATAAGGTTGTTTTCCGATATGAGATGGCGTGTGCTTCCTTTATAGACACTGACTTGGTTCATACATTTAGGGGTTAGATGGTAGTTGGTAGCCCTCCCGGTACCGAAACCTCCCAACAACCTGTCTTACGGGACCGGTGGTAATAGGGGCTATGCGGGTGGGGCAGATGAGTGGAGGCGTAAATGGCGCTTGAAGTGTATCGCAGTAAATGGCGTTCCTGAGAAAGTGGAAGCCAAATTTAAATAAGGTGAAAAATGCAAGGAGGGTATAGAATTAAGCATGGATAATTAGTACGGTATGCGGAATAAATGCATCCTTGCCCCAGATAGGAAAGAATAGCAAGTGAAGACGAACAATCAATAGGAAGAAGGCAGTGTGTCTGAAGGTCATTCCGCAGTATGTGTGATAGTACTCTAACCGACAGAATGGACATGAGAACACGAGAGTCAAGCAGCGGCACGCAGCGGCACGCAGGACGGCATAACGCAGGCGGAATAAGACTGTAATGCGAAAAATATGTTTGGGCGAAAGAGAAAATCTGCAAATAATAGTGTATTGTCACTGTGGCCACATATAGGATTAAAACTATGGCAGTAGTTTTTTTGCTATACGTGAATGCTGTACTATAAAATGTAAAGAGGAATTAGCACTCTGTATATGAAGTTACGCTTTGTTCTGCTTGCAGAGCCCAGTCTCTTAGAAGGCGAAGGAAAGCAGGACCGCAAGTGGATAGGCCGACAGATTATTCGCGGATCCTGGAAATAATGCAGTCGTCCTACCTAGAGAAGTATCTCCAGCAGAAAAGACTACTGACCTGTAGGGTCTTATGTAGATATCGAAAGGTCATGCCCTTACAAATACTGCGATAGCACACGGATGGTTATGCCTTCAGGTAACATCTGGGTACTGTGTGTATGCAGTCTAGGATAGTACTTCTAAAATGAATCAGATACAGGTAACACAGTGCGCGCATGCAATTAGAAGCATAATGAGAAGCATGATGAATCATAATCCCCCTAGGATAAATCTTTCGCCCTTTACTAAAGATTTCTGTGTAGGGGTGCAATACAATGAGTCTATATAGACTTTGTTTGGGTAGTCGCTCGTCGTCCATGCGCACCAGGTGGCCGCTCCAGCGCAGCTGAATTTGCCTCAGTATGGCGTAGATGCTGAGGATTCCCGTCCGTTCCATCACATCAGTGTCGGGGATTCGATCCTGCCACTTTAGCCTCAGGATGCGACGAAGACAACTGAGGTGGACGTGGTTCAGACGACGTGCCTGCTTTGCGTACACCGTCCAAGTCTCCGCTCCATACAGTAGCGTCGGCAGGATGACGGACTTGTACATCTTCAGCTTCGTGCTCAGTTGGAGACCATGACGATTCCAAACTGTGCTTTGGAGGCGACCGAAGGCTTGACTGGCTTTCGAGATCCTGTTGGCGACTTCGTCGTCGATCTTGGTGTTGCGGGAGAGAGTACTGCCCAGGTATGGAAAGTTCTCCACCACTTGTAGTTGGGTCCCATTCACGCTGATTTGCGGCGGCGCGTTGGGGGTTGTGGCCGAGTTAGGTGGCGGCTGGTGCATCACCACCGTCTTCTGTGTGTTGATGACCAGACCGAAGTTCTCGCAGGCGGCGGAGAACAGGTCCATGCTCCGTTGCATCTCCTCTTCCGAGGTGGTGTTCAGGGCGCAGTCGTCGGCGAAGAGGAGTTCGTGCACGGTGGTTGTGGATACGCGCGATTGGAAGTGCATACGCCGTTGATTCAGGAGGTGACCGTCCGTCCTGTAGGCGATGCGGATCCCGGGGCGTTCGTTGCGGTAGGCGTCCATCAGCATGGCAGAGAACATAAGACTGAAGAGGGTTGGTGCCAGCACGCATCCCTGCTTCACTCCGTTGGTCACTGCGAATGCCTCTGAGACAGCACCGTTGTCCGTGACTCGCGCCATCATACCGTCGTGCAGCTGACGCACCATCTGAGTGAATCGCTCCGGACAGCCGAATTTCTGCATGATCTTCCACAGCCCTTCACGATTCACCGTGTCGAAGGCTTTCGTCAGGTCCACGAAGGTAGAGTACAGGTGGGTCCGCATCTCCTGGCACTTCTCCTGAAGTTGGCGGGCGGCGAAGATCATATCCGTGGTCCCACGATGACGACGGAAGCCGCATTGGCTTTCCGGCAGAAGGCCCTGTTCCAGATGGATGTTGAGGCGGTTGAGCAGGATGCGAGCGAAGATCTCCCCGGCGATGTTCAGTAGGGAGATGCCGCGGTGGTTGTCGCAGACTTGGCGATTCCCTTTTCGCTTGTATAGGTGCACGATAGTTGCGTCCTTGAAATCTTGCGGGACTTCACCTTGACGCCACATCTCCTGGAAGAGCGCAGTCAGGTGATCCATCAGTAGGGGACCTCCGTGCTTGTAGACCTCAGCAGGGATGGCGTCCGATCCGGGTGCTTTCCCGCTGGAGAGCTGCTGCACGGCCCTGATCGTTTCCTGGAGAGATGGCGGGAGGTCGAGGTCCACGTTGGTCGCCACTTGCGGCAAGCGGGCGATGGCTGCGTCGGAGATGACGGAAGGGCGGTTGAGAACGCCTCGGAAGTGCTCGGCCCATCGCTGCAGGATTTGCGTCTTCTCAGTCAGGAGAGTGTTGCCGTCGGCGCTGAGGAGAGGAGAAGTGCCCTTCGTCGGCGGACCGTAGACAGCTTTGATCGCAGAGAAGAAGTTCTTCCATTCGTTGCGATCCGCGTACCCTTGGATCTCCTCAGCTCTGCGAGCAGTCCAGGCGTCCTGCATCTCGCGCAGTCGTTGCTGAAATTGGCTGCGACTGCGGTAGAAGGCAGCTTTGTTGTCCTCAGTGGGGTGATCTACGTAGGCTTTGTGTAGGCGATTCTTCTCAGCAAGCAGATTTCTGATGGCGGCGGCGACGTTGTCGTCGAACCAGTCCTGGTGTTGGCGGGGAGCGCGACCGAGGACGGCGAGCGCAGTCGACTGGACCGTGTCTCGCAGTTGACACCAGCGGTTCTCCACGGAGGCGTTCTCGGCAGCGGCGGCTTCGGCAGCGATAGGAAGGTTGTCTAGCCGTAGAGCTAGCTCATTGCTGAAATGAAGATGGTGAGCGGGCAAAGACAACAAGGCAACATTCAGCTTACCTGGGGGTCGCTTACCTTGAGGTCTCCTGCGAGGCTGTAGGCGAATACGCATCTTCGAGATGACGAGGCGATGGTCGATCCACCCGTCAGCACCCGCCATCGCCTTCGTCACCAGCACGTCCCGCTGATCTCGCCTCCGGACGAGGACATAGTCCAGCAGGTGCCACTGGCGCGACCGAGGATGCCTCCAGGTGGCCTTCTCTCGCTCCGGCAGACAGAAGAACGTGTTCGTCAGGATGAGGCGGTGTTCTGCGCAGGTGCGGAGAAGCAGCAGACCATTGTCGTTTGAGCCGCGGAGACCGTGGGGACCCAGCACTCCTCTCCAGGCAGTATGGTCTGTGCCGGCGCGGGCGTTGAAGTCGCCAAGGACAATCAACTTGTCCGCCTTCGACACAGTCGCCAAGAGGGCGTGCAGGTCCTCGTAGAATTTGTCTCTGACGGCGTCGGGGTTGGTCATCGGCGGAGCGTAGGCGCTGATGATGGTGGCGAATGTGCCCCCACCCCGGAGAGGCAGGCGGAGGCTCATCAGGCGATCGTTGATGTCCTGGGGCAAACAAGGCAGTCGTCCCACGATGTCGTTCCGGATGGCGAAGACGACACCCGCGTCTCGCCGCTCTGCCCTGGGTCGACCGCTCCAGAAGAAGGTGTAGCCGGCACCCACCTCCTCCAGTTGGCCTTGTTCGGAGAAACGGGTCTTGCTGAGTGCGGCGATGTCCACCTTGTAGCGCGCCAGTTCTCGTGCCACTAGCGCCGTCCTCCGCTCCGGTCGGTTGCTCCTCGGATTGTCTAAAAGGGAACGAACATCCCAGGCTGCCAGAGTGAGCGGGCTCACCCTGCCAGTCTGGTGACAACGAGTGGGGCGACGGGAAGGAGATGGAGAAGAAGGTGACGAAGGAGAAAAATAGGCAGAAGAATAGGCAGAGGAAGAGGAAGAAGAGGTAGGATGAGGAGAATGAGTATGGTTGTTGTTGTTATTGGTATTGTTGTTGTTTCGATTTTGATTGTTTCGACCATGATTAGACGTCTGCGGCCCTGGCTAGCCTGGAGACGGCGTGGTACCCAGCAATGTTTAGGACACCTTTTCTAGGCCCATCCCCTCGTGGGGGCTGGCAGTGCCATCCCTGAATAGGGCTGCCATGTGCCGTTGTGGCACGGCCGAACTCCACTATGGGACCATGACTTCAGGTTGTAGTGGAGAGCGACTCGAATTCGCCGTAAGCCGCGGTCTCCGTCGACGAGGGTGGGCGCGTCAAGGCGATGTCGATGTGGAGATCCATCCCGTCACCGGCTGTCAAGCGACGTGCAGAGACGAACTACGTCACAACGGTGCCGACGCAAGGTTCCATCCGACCTTCCATCCAGCGGAATCCGCAAACCCTGTGCACACGGCACAGCGCACAGGGCCCCCTCACCTGGTTTAGCCCGCCGGTCGAGACGGTTGCCCGGGGTGTGGCCGCTGAGCAGAGTCCAGCTACGTGGAGCCACAGGTGAGAGTTGAGTGCCAGCAAGTTGACGCTAGGCGCAGTCTCACCTGCAAGCAAGTGAGCGACCACCACGACCATTACGTGAACCCACCGCTGACACCCCTACACCTACACCTACACTACCCAAACGACTCTTCTACGGAGACGTCGCGACGGGTTCTCGCCGTCAAGGAGGCCAGATTCGACGTTACAAGGATACCCTGAAGTCCTCCCTGAAATGCCTGCAAATCAACCCCACCAACTGGGAGGAGCTCCCACTCGATCGACCGACCTGGAGGAGAACAGTGAAGACAGGCGCTGCGATCTACGAAGATAACCGCATCGCTGCCGCCAAAGCGAATCGTGAAGCCCGCAAATCTCAACTTCGCCCAGTAAGCAACGCCGCCGCACACCCGCTTCCAACGTGTCCTCGATGTCAACGGACATTTCGGGCTCGAATCGGACTTGTTGGACATCTTCGGATTAACTGCGCCTCTCGAACGGCACCAACCATCGTCCCCCCGCCTGCCTCTTCCTCCTCCTCCTCTCCGCCGCCAACTAACCCTGACAATTCTTCTGACCCACCACTTCCATCTTTCTCCTCCTCCTCCTTCTCCTCCTCCTCCTCCTCCTCCTCGCCCACTGCTCCAACGGCGGCCGCTCAGGCGACTGTCCCACGCACAGCAACCGACACTACCACCACTTCCCCCCACTCCAGGGATGAGGATCGGGACTACACCTGCCCTCACTGCGACCGTACCTTCACCTCACACATCGGCCTGGTCGGTCACTTGCGAATCCATCGCACAGAGACTGGCGAGCCAGTGCGCGAAGCACCAACCTACACCCGCCGCACTCGCCTCCACTGCCCACACTGCCCTCGCACTTTCAGGCATCGCATGAGCCTATTCGGCCACATGCGCATCCACGACGACCTGCGGTAGACAACCGCCGGCCACAACACACATTCACTCACTCCCTACCTCCTCCTCCACCACCACCATCACCCCACCAGAAATCAACACTCACGCATCTCATGCACCCAACTACCACCTCCCACGCAAGTGGGAAGTCCGCATCTCGACTCGGTCCCCATGCGGCTTCGGCTGCACGGGTGACTTGAGTCCGAGACTATCACGATACGTCAAGCGTCGTGGATAGGAAGGTTGCTGATTGACGCCCGCTCTCGGTTCACGCAGTTCGTCGCGTTGTGTGTGTGTTGTGTGGAGTGGCGGACTGGTGGGCTGGGAACGGGCTGAAACCGCACCTTCCACGGCACTCTCACGCAAGTGAGAGACACGCCGTTCAACCCCCGTTGTGTGAAATCCTGGTGTTGTGTGTATGGGGGCCAGGTCGTGCCGTGGCGCGCGCAGTCATGGTCAGTCGACCATGACAGCCACCGCGCCCATTCCGACTCCACTCTGCTGACCGGCTCGGACAGCGGCTGGGGTGTGGGAGTGGGAAGGGAGAGTGAGGTCGACGACTCAGCGCACTTTCTCCTCACTATAAACAATCTGACGCGCTTGAAGCTATCACGGTGCGCTAAAAGCCGTGGCTTGGA